ATATTAGTACCTTTTACAGTGACATTTTCTCAGGCTCTCCAAGTAGATCGGGACACTGTTTTAATAAATATACATGCAAAGTTATTTTTTTAATCGTGTCTAGGCAAGGGCATGGCTGGAATCGTGGGCAGAGCGGGATACGAGCGGAATTGCTAAATAGCACCAAGAATAAAAGTGTTATGTTTAGCAGAGCACATCTCGACACGGCACCGAGCCTGTTTCTTGCAAATAGGAGGACCAGACACGAAACAGAATCTCCAAGCATCAGCTTAAGCTTGGAAACAAACCCGAGCGTCTCCAAAGCCCGACATGGAGGTGGCGCCGCAGAAATTAAGAGAGTGGGAACCAAACGGCGACTGCAGCAAAAAGGAAAGGCTATTACAGAGACCCAAAATGTGGGGATCTCGCCCAGAAGAGATGCAGATCATGCAGAAGAGGTGCAGAAAGSTCCCTCACCGTGAGTGTGATTATGGGGACCTTCCTGCTCCAGTCGCTTGAGGCATCCAGCATCCGCGCCAGGAGATGAGGCTTCCTGCCCTTTGCCAAGGGAGATGGAGCCAACTCTCCAGAGGAGAGGCTCTGCAGGCTTAGGTAGCCTCCAAAGCACAAAATGCTCATAGTGACAGATAGAACGAGCCTCAAAACCACAAGTGCAGTCGAAAAGACCCGACTGCAATGGGTGCGCCTTCCCAAAAATCCTTGGGAGCTGCAGGAAAATGGAAACAGAGGACCCAACTGCCCTACCAGGAACGTATCTGGGAGAATGCTGAAGATATTCCAGCCCTGCATCAAGGGGGTTGGAATTTCCTAATCACCTGAAGACTCAGAGACCTTGAGGGAGCCTGGGGAGGGCGGCAGTCGGACACCCCTGGCCACATGTGCTGTGCAACCAGGCAAATTCTTACCCAGAGGGAGGCCACTCCATCTCTTGGAGGCCGAGCTCAGAGTGCAAGACCAATATGAGCCACTCCAGAGAACAGCCCTCCACCCAAGAGCTGCAAAACCCACCGGTACTGCTTGCTGAGACAACGCATTGGCCCCTTCAGCGTTTTGGTGAATACCAGCGGGACCAGGAGGAGATCACACGACTGGACTTTGCAACAGCAACTGCAACAGGTCCTAACATACCCAGGCACCTCCTGCAAGCAGGATGGGCTGTAATCTGAAAATTATGTGGAGAAAACAGAGAGACACGACAGAGGTTCCCATTCTGTCCTGTTAAGTCAGAGTCTTATGAGAGTAGTCTGCAGAAAAGGGGAGAAAAGAGAGGTCAGAGGGAGGATGACAAAGGAGACCAAATGCAGAATACGCAGGTAATACTGTATAGTACCCAAGGGAACTGTGGTCCCATGGGATGGACCTATGAGAAGTTTTCATTGCTTTGAAGAAGCTGTTCAAAACACTAGGGTGGAAATGGTCTCCTTTAGGTGTAAAGGGCCCCTCTCCAGGACCAAAGGCAAACAAAAAGCAAATCTAAAAAAAAGGAAAAAAAATCCTAAAACAACAGCTGAGGAGAATCCAGGAAGTTCAGCTGTCACTCACTATGGGCTCTAGGATCCAATTCTTCCTTTTTTCCACCCTACTCTAGGCATCAGGAAGGGTTGTTCTTCTCCAGCTCACGTCTGCAGATTCAGAAGCTGAATTTACGACCTAACCTCTACAGGAATTTGCAGAAATACACACGGTCAAAGGAGAAGCTTATGGTAGCTACCACCAACACAAAAAAAAAAAAAGAAGAAGGCAAAAGAAAAGTTAATTCAAGTATTTTAATAGCATGAGACCTTTTTATTCACTCTCCTCGCTCTGTTCTCCTCCATGCTACATAAAAGTAGTGCTCTTTAGACCTTTTAATGCCGTTTCCAAGAGAATGAGAACATCTGTTTCTACTGGCACGACTGCGACTTGCATGAGAGCCGAGAACCCATGTGTTATCACCCCATGTCCCTCCAGCTTTGCTGACTTCCTCTGCTTTTCACAAAACACCCATCAAACTTGCCATGCTGCAGCCGACAGGCTCAGTTGGAGCGGGGGCGTCAGCGGAGACGTTTGCTTGGAGATGCAGGAGGTCGCATCTGCCCTCATCGCACCCGCACAGAGCTCCACACAGCAAAGATCCTGATGCCCAAAAATGCTGCTGTTCCCTCTCGCCACCTCAGGGAGAGCTTCACCTGTCACCTTATGGACATTCAGATCTGTTCTGCACAAGCACCATAAGGAAAGGGAGCTCCCAGGTGGGCACATCTCGGGCTGGGCGCTTTTGGGGCTCCCTTGGTCTGATGGGTATCTTCTTGTCTTTGGAGACTCTTGGACAAAATGTGATTCACCTGGGACACAACAAATACAAGCAGGGAAGRGCCAGAGCACTAGTGTCAGGTACCCCTTTCACCCTCACTGAACTCAGCAATGTCCCACAGATGGGTGTTTTAACGTCCATGGTGGATGACAGAAATCCCAAGGGATCGTTGTGGAAGTCTCACCAAGCAGAGTCTTCACGTTTGATGATCCCTACCAGGGTGAGGTGGAAATTCAAAACGCAGGTTAACGCRGTAACGATGCAGGAGAGCACGGGGAGCAGCAGTGAAAGGATGGATGTCTGCAAATCCCTCTCAAGCCGCAATTTAACTCAACCTAAGGAAACACCACCAGCATAAAACTCAGACTTCTGGCAAGGGACTGTATCTAAGTGTTGAACCATAAATTAGAAGGGTGCATGAGTAACTACCCTCAAATGCTCCTATACATAACCCTGATAAACAGGAATGAAAATTGTTCATAAGGGCAAACAAGGAAGGAAAAAAAAAAAAAAAAAAACAAGAAGAAAAGAACCCATGAAAGACAAAGTTGCAGCACTTATGTGATTCCTGAGAAAATAAAGTATCAATATTCAACTAGGAGGTTCACTAAGAAAGGCTTTGCCAGCAGAGCTCTGTAGAGAACAGTTTTTAAGTGGGTTTGGTTCTTTGTTTGTTTTTTGGAGTAACAGAGAAGATGTAGAATAAGAAGCCAAAATGAATAAATGAGCCTGCTGTCATAACCATAACCCAATCCACTGATAACATCATCTTCCAGCTCCATTACCGCTCGTTGCATTATGTCAAAACATGGACTCTAAACTCTCCCTAATTTTGTTTGCAAAGCGTTCTGTAGAGTTCRGGAGCTCTCTAAATAATCCCAAATTAAGTTACAAGACCAAAGGAGGAGACTGGGGCAGAGCCAAGTCCTGGTGTCCTCCAGAGGAACCTGCACACAGGAGGAACGAGAATAAGCTGGAGAGCCTGAAAGACGAAGTCGCCTTGGACGCGAGTTGTTTGAGGCGACGGGCATCAAGGAGACCCAAGAAGGTCTCTCCAAAGGTGGTGAAGACGCCCCATAAGAGACGAGCACGTGCTCGTTTTGGAAGTGCCCTCCTGCGGCAAGGTTGTGTCAAAGGACAACGTTGAACGCAGCACCCAGTTGGCGCCACATGGCACGCGTGCCTCTGAACCAGCAGTGTTTTGGAAGACCATACCACATCTGCAAAGTAAAATCCCCACATCCAACCATCTTTTACCGGGAAAAAAAGTACCATTCGTGTATTGTTTTCAAGCAATTTCTTCGGAGCGATGGGACAGGTTCTGCASCTCCTTGAAACCATTTCCGCCGTCAAAGGGAGGATTAAGAATTGTAGATTGTTCCATGCAATGCCGAGGTAGAAACGTATCACAACTTGCCTTGGAGTCTCCTCCACTAACTACTTCATAATGCAAAAAACATCATTTGAATGTGCAAAATGTATAAATATTAAAAGCTGAAGGAATTAAATCGATGCCCTGAGAAAAGACTTAGCCTTAAAAGGACAGAACGCTAAAGCTGTTTTGGGAAGCTAGCAGAGAACATTTGCAGCTCTACAGCATTAAGAGTTTGGCAAGAGACTATGTTTAAAAGAATCCTTTATTGCCTTAAAAATCCTCTTGTTTAAGGGAACAATTTAAGAACTGATTTTCTGCATATATGCATACACACGCACTCCAGTTATACATAGTCTGTCGTTTTTCCCATATTTGCCCAAAAAGCACAGATGAGAGAGGAGCCTCCGTTATTCTGGGAGGTTTTTTATGGCCAAAACACTCACAAATCTACCAGACAGCTCTGGTAAGGAGCAAAAAAAAAAGACAGGAAAAGCATCTACCCATTTGTACTGCACCAAACGAAACCAATAATTCATTTGCTGTATTAGCTCAATTAAAACTGCTCTCAACATCAGAACTCACAACCACCGCGCATGGACAGAAAAGAGCTGCTACAGTAGGAGGACCTAAGTTGGATACAGCATAGAAATTCCTACAGAAGAACATATATTTTCTTAAAGGAAATAAGATAAATCTGAAATCTGACGGATCCCCCAACAAGCAGAACATTCCCTCCTCTCTTGTTCCCAGAGAAAATAAAGCTCTAAAGGCAACACAAACTGCGACAAATCAGGGGAGCTAAACCACAAACACTCCACAGTTTGTGCACAAGGCAGAAAAATGCCACTTTTAGTGGCACAACACACAGTTGCTGCAAAGATCCCAATATGCTTTACTAACATTTATCAACTTACCCTCAGTGCCTGACAAGGTGGGGAGATATTATTATATCCTCCTGGTCCAATGAGACAGTCAAGTCTCATTTCCCATTTCTACAACAACACTGCTTCCTTAATCCTTAATTTGGAGGCAAACGATCCGCTCAAAGCCACAGGATTAAATGTGGTTGGAGGTTTATTCTTAAGGATCTCAGCACTAAGTTAAGAGATTTGACCATCATTCTGTATACAGCGAGATGGACAATTTTAGCATCTTTTTTGTTTCCCAGCAAGCGCATTCCAAGTAACTTTCCAAACATATCTTTAATCCTTAATCCCTTAATCCTTAATCTCTTTCTTTGAAACAATTCTCTTCTCTTCCTTCACGTTTTAGTCTCTAGAYGGTGAAAGAACCAACCAGAGGCACGTCACATATAAGCAGCTGAGCCCATACCTTCCATGACGTACACCAGGGAGCCCACATCTCCTTCCTTGATGATGCAGCTGTCTTTGCCGTACTCCACGGGATACATACAATCCACAATCTCCTGGATCTGTGACAGTTCCAGGTTCTTCATGAAGTCGTTGTCAAGGATTGCTTCCTTTATTAGTTCCTTAGACCTACAAAGAGGAGAGGACAAGATTTATCCGCGTGTACATCAACTGAGCTCATGCACAGCGCGTGCAGCCTAGCACGGTCACGCTCTCCTAATGGGACAATATTTTCCTGCAAAAAATCTGATTTTTCTCCCAAATCTGATACAATTCCAACTACAAAGGACTAAGCAATCACAAAAAAAAAAAATCCTTAAAACTTATTTGCAAGTTCTATAGGACAAGCTTTGAATTAAAGAGTAGATTCTATGCAATTGCAAGATCCTTTTGCCTGTGAGTTTCATGTCTACAATGACTTCAAAGACTAACAACAGCTCCTTGAAATACTTTTCACCCACAGAAGCAAAAGACTCACAAGAAATGTAAGGTTTTTACTTAGCTGGCTGTATTTGCTATTAAATGATAGAGACCGGGTAATATAAAAGCCAGAGAGATTGTGTACCACATGCTGCACTACCACTAAGACCCAACACACCAGTGAATATGCAGAGCAGCCACCTCGACGTTCCCTTCGGACCGTCATGGCCAAGCAGGCAGTTTGCACCCAGGAGACACAAGCAGGTGCCCACCAGGAACGTGCTGGAGATAAGAGCTCCCAGTCATCCTCACCTTCCAGCTCCAACCAGCAGCACRTGCTCAACCCCTATGATCAGAGCAGGCGTCTACCAGTCCAAGAGGCCCCAAACATATCCAGAGTGGACAGCAGCTCCTCAGCACTCAGCTTCTCACCCTACAGATCAGCGTCGTGGGCTGAACAAATTGCTGATGTGAAGACAGCCTTGGTGGACAGCTGCAACCCAAGGCACTGGAATGAGCTTTATTTCATTGAAATAACAGACAAAAAATGAAAAACCAAGAGGAGACTTTTGAAGAAGGATGTTAATGAACAGGGCTCTCTTGAACGACAGCTAAAGTGGGGATACCAAAGTCCAAAAGGAAAGTCATCCCTAGGAATATAATGGTTATTTGTAGGGATACAAGGTTACTGGGGATACAAGGCTATTTCCAGCAAAGATTTAGTTCTTTAGCACTTTGCATTTCTACGTTTGTGATCGTTTGGGGTTACTGCAACAAAACCCACAACTTCCTATTCAGAGTCTGTCAGTCCTCACCTATCCGAGGAGCAGGACRTGCAGCAGAGCAGACTTTGCAGTACCATCTGTGAGAAGAAAAACCAACAGGGAAAGCCAAGTGCTACGAAAACCCTTTGCTCTCGCAAATCCCTATATGTGACTTCCCAAAGTGCAATTCCCATTCCTCCAGCAAGCAAATAAGAGCCACCCAGGGAGCTTCTGCTGTTCTCGCCCTCGTAAAGAAAGGCTGGCAACGTGTGGGGTTGTGTAGATGACAAACAACTGCTGCTGTGCTGCGCAATGAGACTGGAGTCCGTCTATGCTACAGCCTCACTGAACACTGCTCTTGTAGTCCTAGCCACCCCCACAGGTCTCCAACACCCTCCTAACAAAGCACTAATTATCAGCATTACTCCAGCCGCATGCCAAAGGAGACGGCAGGAGAAAAGCTTTCACATGAGTCCTGTCAACCACAGCTACAGTTTAAGCTGTTTCTTTCATTCCAAGTCTCAAAAATGAGACATTCTCCACAGTAAAATAAGGTCAAGTCTTCCAAGTGGAGMGTTTCTGAAACATCTGTGCGAGACTGGAGGGAATTCAGACACRGCTGCAGTTGGACCTCTTCTGTTGACTTAGAAGACATCAAAAGCAAAAAGAGGTTTTACTGGGAGAACTGAGTAAACGTTTTGAAGGAATCCTGAGAATGTGGCCAGTTCCATGGTGAGAACCATGCATGGAGGTCAAGAAAGATGCATCAGATGTTGGCATGGGTGAAAAGCAGCAAGACTTGCATGATGGGGCCTCCTGTTCCAAACTCCTATAAACTCCTGTCATAGCAATCCAATGTTTCAGAACTTCTGAACCAACAGGCTCACAGCAGAAAATACCTCAGTCCTTCAACGTGGAGGTCTTGCAGGAGCCCACTAACTCCTGCAACCCCTTTTAATGCCAATGAAGCACTACAACCATTAAGACAAAAACCACGCTGGCCACAGCACCGATAATATACTCCCTCTCTCTGCCAGGACCCAGCGTATTAAACTTAGGTGTCTCCACAAAAGAGTTTGCGTAATAACTCTTCAAGAACTCTCGATCTCCACAGAAGGAGACTCCACAGCCTCCCTGGGCAGCCTGTGCCAGGGCTCTGGCACCCTCACAGTGAAGAAGTTTTTCTTCACATGGAGATGGAGCTGCCTGGGTTTCAGCCTATACCCATTGCCCCTTGTCCKRTCACTGGCCACCASTGAGAAGAGCTTGACCCCTTCCTCCCTGCATTCCTCCTTCATGTACTTATACATGCTAATCAGAGCCCCTCTCAGCCTTCTCTTCTCCAGAGAAATGGGAAGAGAAGATCTTCTCTCCTGGTTCCCGTGGCACCAGGGCATTGACCGTGGTTTGAAGCCAGAAGCCCTTTCGCCAGCTGCCCTTTAAAAAAAAMYAAAGAAACAAAGAAGACAAGCCTAGCTCCAACCATTTGGAAATTAGTTTGATACTAAAAATATATCGTCATAGCTACAGGAAGATTAGCTCTGTTGTTGTTAGGGAGGCCACGATTTGCTAGGCTAAGGATGCCCCAAAATTATTCATGCCGCGCAGATTCCCATTCCCACCTGCCAGGCACAGCATCGTCCTGCGGTTTGCTCTGGGTTTTATTGAGCAGTTTTTCCCTCAGGAAACCCCACAAATATATTCCAGGTGAACGGCACCCATCCCAGACACAACAATCCCAATGTTTCAAGGCAGGAAAGTGTGKGAAATTCATCCTGGACGCACTCAGAATTCACTCACTTAAATGAGCTGCTGGTTTTGTCCAATCTTTCGATTTTAAGGGAGTTTAGGTTGTGTTTTCCCACTCACAGCTCTAACAGAAATGGCTTGCAAATAAAATAAGCCTACACTCTTGGAAAAAGTTTGTTCTAGTACCAAGTGCACGAGTGCATTTGCATGCATATTTGCTTCTCTGGAAAGTGAAAGGCTCTCAACATGGAGAATCCTTTGGAAGAGGAGACCGAATCTTTGCTCTCCAGGGGTAAGGAACCTGGCACCGAATCATCACTTCTTTTTTCCCCCAAGAAAATAACGACCAAGTTCAATGGAGACAGGACGAGCGGTTCCCAGGAAGATCCAATGCTCTCCAGCAGATCCTGGGGGTTGGATGGACCTCTGGTGGATCCTGCTCCTGGATAAGGAGCAGAGTGATGGTGACGGCAGCCTGCGGACAGAGGCAAAACTTGCTTTGAGGGCTGCTGCTCTGCCCGTGCTTTACATTCCCCAACCAGAAAAGTTAACAGCAATCCCRATCTCCAGCCTAAAGCACAACCACTCCCATGTACTCCAGACACATGGAGAAACACCAGAAAAAAGTGGTAATCGTCATCCCTTTAGGCCAAAACGGACMTACACGAGGACAGTTTTCCAGGGAATGAGCTGTTGGGAATAGGCAACAAAGGCAGATAAAGAGAGAGATTGGAATTCAGTTTTGCCAATGCTAAGAGAATATATGGGAGGAAATCTGAGTTTCCTGGTGTTCAAGAAGTAAGGGGAAAAAAGTCCATATTGCAGTCACCTAACAGCAGAGAGGAGACCTCTACAAGAACTTCTTTAGCTCTTCCTCTCTCCAAACTTCATTGTTTTAAACACTTTCCAACACAAACTTACACTTAGTGCTCACATAGGGTAGTAAAAGCCTCTTTTTCCCCCCTCATGGCTGTGCCAGCCGCTACGGATGCCACCAGGTGGTCTACTTAGGAGGGAACCCGGCGCTCACCGCCGGGCCTGCGGTCCAAAGCACAAGAAGAGAAGAGCTCGTGATCTGCAAAGGCTTCAAACGCTGCTCAGAGACCCTCAAACAAGCGGCATCTGCCTCATGCTACGGCATCGCTGCTGTAAAAGGCCAAAGCAAAACGGCCACGTGGGACGTGCACCCACTGCAGCTCGGCGGCACCCCAACCGCGCGGACATCTTTGTGGCTTTATCCCATAGGATTCACCCTGTTACTTACGAACAGACTGTGCTCTGATCACGCTCTGAAACTGGAGCTCAACAGACCACGTCCCAGCCCGCTCAACAGCAAAACACTGCAGGTTTTCGCATTAAAAGCTGGTGGCAATAACGACAAAACAGGGCAGCTTGCACCTTGTGCGACACAAAAGGAAACGTGGCCTCCTAGGGTGCAGATGGCTGGGAAGTGTCTTGATGCACCTAAGCCTGTAATAAGCATAATAAAATATAATAAAATAAAATAATAAAAATATCTGGGTGCTCCTTTGAAGGCCTGTGTACTCTTAAGAGCAGGAGGGTGCAGAAGAGCCCAGGCCCCCAGGCCTCGGGTCGAGTTYGGCCTATCGAGTAGCCGATGACTCYGCGTTATCCGTTCGTTTTGGCTAGGGTTAAAGCCCGCCTTAAAAATGCTTCTTAAGGGAATTTTAAATAGAACTGCTGAGCTATTCTGATCCTGTTAACGGGAAATACAGTAGGGTTCATGTCCTGAACTACACAGCAAAGATCTTCCAATATGCTCAATTTTCTGTTTCTTGCCYTTTTTTTGCAGCACGATAACGCGAGCGTGTTGGGGCTTCAAACCCATGAGGGAGAAAAAGGGGGTCGAGGAGGACCTCAAACACCCGTGGCACCAACTGCTGCTTCATCACGGGGGGAAACGTACCCTGAAATCTTGTAAACTGACGTGCTGGTTAAAGGCACAARCAACTGCCAAGTCACTAAGCCTCACCCAGCCTCAAATACTACTTTTAGTTGTGGGAATGGAGGAGGACGTGGACAGAGAGTTCTAGCCTGGGCTTCTAAATATATCAGGCCATTCAGTTACCCTGGTGCTCAATATTTTGAGTATTGATACTTAAAATAGGGATAATTTAAGAAAAAGTTACCTTCTCCTTTCACCTACACTGAAAAACGTCAGGGCAAAAACACCAC